ACACAAAGACGCTGCCATTTGTGGATCTTTGTCAGCCATATAACCGATGAGCACTTGTTTGAGTCTTTGCGGACACTTCAGACAATTGATGACATGTGTGCGGCATTTGACGGCGTGTCTCAACTGTGTATTACCGCAATGGACACACTTAACATGGTCCTTTTTACGGTCTCGTTCATTCAGACAGCGTTTGTGGACTCGAGTCCAGTGTTTCCATAGGTTTGGATCCTCTTTTTTACCCATAATTGACACACTTTTAGACCTCAATCTCCGCACTTGTATTGCATCTAATGTGGCAAATAGTGGTCACAATTGAGTGAACGGTTCATCACTTATTCACACCTTTTCTGAATCACTATTTTGTAAACAAAACTCAAAACAAAATGTGATTCAAATGTTTTGCGCCATATTTTGCTCACAAAATACGACAACAAATAGTTTTTTTGAATAAAAAGTTTAGATTTTTATTGTAAACTTTAAGTATATTTTTAAATAACTAGTGGTAATTAACTATACATTAATTTAATTAAGATTTACAAATTACATACTTATTAGTAGCCATTGGTTAGACCATTAATAGCTTATCATATTGAGACCGACACTGAGATACAGTTGTATAATAATTTAATCCACGTATAAAAGATTGGATAAGATTGGAACTCTAATAACAGTAAAATTTGTCTGTAATAATTAAAATTAAATTAAATACGGTAATAATAGTTTATTTAAATTAAATAGTATTTATTTTGAGTCAATTTTAATATAAATATAATGTTAGACAAAATAATTTCACTCTATTGTGCTGAGAGTACAGTAATTCTTATGATAAGGTTTTATTCAAACTTTGATTTACTTTCAAAACTCAGTACTCGTACTGGCATTCGCTTCCCTCAGCAATGAATTTGATCCCAAAATGCTTTGCGAAGAGCGCGAAGAGATTCCTAAAGTCTTTTTCGTGATCTCTTCGAGTGCTCCAAATCCGAGACCAACGGCTAAACTCCCGAAAGATGCGAATCGACTCACTCTATTGGCCGGAACTTTACGTTCTTTTGATCGTTGACTTAGATTTTGTCGACAATTATCATTGAGTCCACGTTTGGCTCTAGTATTGGGCTTTTCATTGACAGGGCTTTCGTTGACTGCTTTCTCGCCAATTATTATATTCTCTTTGACTAACTCTTTATTAATAAACTTATTCTCATTGACATTCAATTCATTCAAATCCTCATTCAAATTGTCCTCTAAATCATAATTAGATATTCATTTGATTAGACTATAGTTAATAAAGAAATGTAAATTAGACTAGATACTATATTGTCATGCAGTGTATCATTTTTATATTACAGTACATTTATATTACGAGAGTTGTGTTCAGATCATTTTATATATAATTTGAATGCCCTATCATTAAATCAGTGAACCCTTCCCAGTGAAATGCCTCGAGTGTGCAAATTGTCCTAGATGTTTACTAATTACATAATTAGATAAATAATCAAGAGACATAATTGGGTCATTTGCCTAACTATATAACAATCTATATAACTTTTATTAGTTTGCAGTTTATAAATTTTTAAATAATTTCTATTTTTATTGTAATTAATTTTCAAGAATTATTATTAAAATTATGAATCTGATAAAAATAATTTATGAAAATGTTTTCTTATTCTAGAAATGAAATGTACCAGGGCACAAATGTATTTATTAATAATTATACAGAATATCTATCGATTAAGTTCTTAATAACTTTTATTTGTTTTTGAAATCATAATATTTAAATTGTTATATTAAATGAGAATAAGATTTAAAGGTTTGTATGCGTTTAGTAATTTATAGTATCAGTGAAATATCAAATATTAACTGTTTATTTAATCAATAGTTTATAAGTAATTTTGTTAATTAATAGATTTGTACACTGGTACATTTCATATTTAGAATACAAAAATATTATAAGAAATTAATTTTATCATGTACATTATTAAAAATAATAATTCTATGAAATTAATTTTAAAGAAAACTCAAAAATTATTTATTATATAGTTAAAATTGAAGTAGATGTCATGAGCTTTCAAACGGACTATGTTTCATATTTGAAATAAATTGACCTAGTACCTATTGAAATATGGTTCTCGTCGAGTTCAAATTTTAATAAAAAAATACATGTTAATTCTTATATAAAGTGTTTTAATGTATAAAATATTGTTTAATATGCGGTTATTTTAATATTCATTGAAATTCATTGAATATCATTTTAATACAAACAATTTATATCAATTTATTTATAAACAAATAATTACAAAATAATTTAATTACTTTTAATCGTAACAGTTCATATTTTTGTTTTATTCAAATTAGCATTTAGAATATATTATTTCTTGGTGTTAATAGTTATAAATTCATAGAAAAATGTGTTGTTATTAATCTTCAGGTTATTTAATATTTTTGCGAAATCTTTATCGTTTATAACAACATCTTTATCGATAGCCCACTCTTTATATTTAGTCAATACTTCCCTACATTCAGGTCTTTTCCGCCACTTTTGTGTATACATTGACTCCAATATAGTTTGCAACTGAACTACCTTTGCGTTTAACACCGGAAACTCGGATGAATATTCAGTTGTCCTGGGTAAAATTAAATATTACTAAAACAATTAAGAAAATATAATAATTTGAAATACAACATACTCATTTAAATCAATTTCATCCAAACCAAAATTAAATAGCTCGTCACCAATTAGGGCCAAACTATAAATATCAGTTTTATGACCATATTTTTTACCCTGTCCTACTTCCGGTGCTTGATATCTTAAGTCACCTATATCTGCTGTATGTTTGTGTGTAGTCTTGTAGTTAATACGTTTCTCATGAATTGTAGCTAAACCAAAGTCACATAACTTAAAAAATCTACCGTTCCTTACAGAACTCTTGATCAATATATTTTCGGGTTTGAGGTCTCTATGAATGATCTGTGGATTAAATTCATGCAAATACTGAACACTTTCTAAAATCTGTCGAAATATTTCACACGAAATGAAATACTCGACGCAATCCATGGGATGTCCTATTTGTCGATCAAATACTTTTGGTTTTATTTCTAAAATATCTCGAAGACTTTGTGAACATAACTCCATTCGAATATAAATACAGTCCCCTTCACGCCATGAGTCGTAATATTGGACAACATATTCCGACTGAACTCTTAATAAATTATTTCCCTCTTTAGTTGCATTAGACTTTTGGTATTCAGTTAAATCTAATTAAATAAATTAAATCATAAATCAAAATTTCAATAAATAATTTAATAATTCATACCATTAAGTTTTTGAATTTTAATAGCGTATATATTGTGGTCTCTTTTATTTCTAACTTTATGCACCGTCCCAAAACCACCAGTCCCTATTTGTGACTCTTCAGAAAATATTTTTTTATATTTTCCTACTACGTCTACTGTATTGTATGTTATATTGTACTTTGAAAGTTGGGTCTCATAAAATTCATAGAAAAATGAACATGAGTGTGTTTTAAGTGTATTTATAACTGACTCGAATTTTAAATTATTTGTCACAATATATTCGCCAATTGACAAACTGTTAATTTTGTCTAAAATGTCTTTACAATCGGGTCTTTTGTCCCAGAAATGTGCATTCATTGAAACCAAAAGTATTATTAATTGGAATATCTTATCGTTTAATATTGTATCAATCGGTGAATATTCAATTGAGCTATAGTTTGATATATAGATATAAAATCTTCGCAAAAACGTGTTTACTCGTTTAATTAAATTTAAAAATACTTAGAATAGAGCTAGATTAAAACAAATTTTTTGCAACTATGGTTTTATTGCACCAATACACTGATATGACGACTATTACTCAATTCTCAAAGGAACGGTAGGGAACGCTAGTTTTTGAAAATCTTAAATAACTTAAAAAGTATATAACATTTGTAAGTTTTGATTTTTGGATTTGATTCACAGGGTCAATATCAAAAAACTAAATTCTGAATTTTACAAAATTTTGCCTTGTTGATTTTTAAATATTTTTAAATTTGTAAATTTAAAATCCATTTATCTTAGCATTGGATCAATGTATCAGGATAATTTCAAATTGGTTATAAAGCTCTTTCAAACTCCTAAAACTAGTTTGCTGGCAACCAAGCTGGAACTATTTTGCCTAACATTTTAATCAAGGGATAAATATTTTCTATGTATTTTCATCATACAGGTAAAGGTGTAAAACAATAAAACCTGTCTTTAATTAAATACATAGAAAATATTTATACTTTGATTAAAACGTAAGTTGTATTTATTACAGTACTGATGCAAGCAAACTAGTTTAAGATTTTGAAAGAGCTTTACAACCAATTTGGAATTATCCTAATACATTGATCCAATGCTAAGATAAATGGATTTTAAATTTACAAATTTAAAAATGTATTTAAAAATCAACAAGGCAAAATTTTGTAAAATTCAGAATTTAGTTTTTTGATATTGACCCTGTGAAACAAATCCAAAAATCAAAATTTACAAATGTTATATACTTTTTAAGTTATTTAAGATTTTCAAAAACTAGCGTTCCCTACCGTTCCTTTGAGAATTGAGTAAAAGTCGTCATATCAGTGTATTGGTGCAATAAAATCATAGTTGCAAAAAATTTTGTTTTAATCTATCTCTATTCTAAGTATTTTTAAATTTAATTAAACGAGTAAACACAATTTTGGCGAAGATTTTATAAAAATTAATCATCTAAATATAATGATATAGAAATAATAAATATAATTGAAAGTTTTAATATTGTAATAAAATACTAATTGGATCATACTCATGAAGATTAATCATGCGCAAATCCACTTCAAACAATTCGCCGCCAGTTATTGACAAACTATAAACATCTGCCTTAATGCCGTATTCCTCCCCCAGATATACTTCTGGTGCCGTATAATTTGGTTTTCCCCGATCTCGATCATGTTTCCGTTTAGTACTGAAGTGAACGCGTTTGTCGTGATGTGTTGCGAAATGAAAGTCACCTAACTTTATAAATCTGCCGTTCGTTACTTCTTTAGAAATGAATATATTTTCGGGTCTGACGTCTCTGTGAATGATCTGTGGATTAAATTCATGCAAATACTGAACACTTTCTAAGATCTGACGGAATATTTCACACGAAATGAAATACTCGACGCAATCCATGGGATGTCCTATTTGTCGATCAAATACTTTTGGTTTTATTTCTAAAATATTGCGAAGACTTTGTGAACATAACTCCATTTGAATATAAACACAATTCCCTTCACGCCATGAGTCGTAATATTGGACAACATATTCCGATTTAACTAATAATAAATTCTTTGCCTCTTCAAATGGAATAGAATTTACGTATTCATTTGGATTAAATAATTCATCTAATTAAATAAATTAAATCATAAATCAAAATTTCAATAAATAATTTAATAATTCATACCATTGAGCTCTTGAATTTTAATAGCATATATCTTATTGTCATATTTATTTTGAATTTTATACACAGCTCCCCAACTACACTCTCCTATGATTGATAACTCATCAAATGTGATGTTATAATAATTTTCTTTTAGGTTTATTGTATTGTATGTTATTTTGCATTCATTAGCAAAGTAATCTATAAAATTATAATATTGAGTTTCTTTTAAATTGAATGCAAAATCAAGTTTATATATTTTGCTGTCTTTTAAAACAACACAGCAATTTATTTCAAAGTATGAATCTATTTGAGGCAATTGTTGAATGTTATGGTTTTGTTCAATATTCATAATTTTGTAATTATATAATAAATCATTGTTTGTATGGAAATATATTGAGGATAAACTGGAAGCACTATACTTCACAAAAATATTTTTAATATCACTGGATGTTGTGTACAATTGCGGGCTTAATATGCAATCATCGGTCATATTATGTCCCAATTGATTGTATTCATTGTCTCCCCAACTGAACACAAGTCCATCCGATGTTATGGCAAATGAACAGTTATTACAACAAAAAACACTTTTAATCTTAATTTTATTTTTAATTTTAATTTTAATTTTAATTTTAATTTTAATCATAAAATTAATGTTTCCAAATTGCACTTTAATTATTTCACTAATACTATCACTCGTATGTCCACAACCTATTTGTCCACTACTATTCCCACCCCATCCATACACCTGTCCATTGGTGCTGAGGGCCAAGGAGTGACACAAACCACAACTGATTTGAATTATATTTTTCTCATTAAAATACGAAATTTTAATAGGTTTTGAATAAATGTTATTTGGTGTTACATCTCTGCCTAACTGTCCCATATCATTTCGACCCCAACTATAAACATGGCTGTCCATATTGATAGCCAACACAAAATCATCCCCATTAATGAATTTTTGGATATTTTGATGACACAATTCAGGTATAAGTTGTGATATCTGGACGGGTTTGTTGTGACCCAAACCCAGACATCCCATACTATTTCTCCCCAATCCATAGACGGTGTCATGTTTTGTCACAAACAGTACATTTTGATGACCAATATTATCATTGAAAACGTGTAATAAAATGATTTCTATTTTCATATTTTCTTCTATTGAATCACAAACTGAAAACTTCTCTAAAATTGATGACATCTTTAATTAAACAATTAATTTTAAAAAAACAATAATTAAAAATTTATTACAAATTAAATAAAGGTTTAGTAATATTTTGTTAAAATTTATATACTTTTACGTATAATATACAGTTAATACTTCATGTTATATAAAAATAATTTATTAATAACGTTGGGAAAATAGTTTTAAAATATCGTAAATAATTTATATGATGTTAAGTTTTATATTTACAATTTAATTCGATTAATTATAGTATTAAAATTTTAATTTAATTTTCGGTTAAATATGCATTAAATTTATCTAATAAACTTATTAAACAAATCACTAAATTCTTTAAAACAATACAATATTAATGAATACACCGTAATATTAATGATAATCACTATAGGAATCCAATGGAAACAATCATTTATATTTCAAATGGTTTAATGAAATAATATTTTATACATAATAAAACAATATATTTTCATTATTTCGTTCAACTTTCCTAATAATTTCTTAGATGACTAACTTTTCATTAGAAGCAATATTAGTATTACCATGACACTATTATCAGTTTGATACTTAAAATTTTTAGTAGTTTAAGATACTTAATAATTGTATTTTGTCTACATGTTTTCATTATAGGTTTTAAAATATTAAAACGTTTACACTAAATAAAAATTTCAAAGCTAAACTATACAATTGTAATTAAAATAAAATAGATTTATTTAAAATTAATGTTAAATGTACATTGTATAAATTAAAATTAATAATTAACTAAATGATTAGGATATAGCGGGTTACGGCGTGGTTACGGGCGTATGTGTGCAGTCAAGTTTTTATTATTTTAAAATATTCTTTTAAGTATAATAAAGTAATCTATTGCAGTATCTATTTTATTATATAAAGGATACGGTCGGATTCGGCCTAAGCTGGCAACCGGGATATTATGATTGATTCCCATAGACCTTTTAACCCTGAGTCCGAATATGTAACTTATATTGTCCTGTGACCACGGGTTCGGCCGCAAAG